GGGTGCTAAGAGGATGGAGCCAGGTCCTGCTCAGCGGTGCCAAGCAATGGCACAAGAGGCTACAGGCAGAAAATGAGGCACAGGAAGTTCCTGATCATGAGGAAGAATTTCCTTACTGTGTGGATAATCATGCACTGGAACAGGTTGCTCAGAGAGGGTGTGGAGTCTCCCTCACTGGAGATATTGAAGAGCTATCGGCACACAATCCCATGCCAGGTGCTCTGGGATGACCCTGCTTGAACAGGGAGATTGGACCAGATAACCCACTATGGTCACTTCCACCCTGACACATTGACTCTGTGACTTAAAACTGTTATTTTATTGTAAGTATTGAATAAAAATCCCAAATTAAAAAAAAAAAGTCCTCTGTTTTGCTCTTATATAGCTAAAATCATACTTTCTGGCATCTTTTTAAGTATTGGGAAACACAAGTTTCTTTTTTGATACGCTAACACCAGTTCAGCAGACTTTTTGTAAGTATATGGCATTATAGAATGTACATCAGGCTCCTCAGTCAACAGAGGAACAGCTGAAGTGAAGTTTGAAAATGGAGATGTGGTAGTAATATTATGAAAGTCACAACAAATAGGATGCAATGCAGAACTAACATGAGAAAGAGTGTTAAACTGGATTAAAGTCTCTCTTCATCTGAGCCCCACTTGTGCACAGGGACATCTATCTGAAACTGAGTCACAGAACATCATCCTAAAACATATGGCCTTTCAAAAATTAGATCCGTTTAATACCCTTTTAATGCTGCAGACTCAGCAAAGCAGGGCTCTAGGCCATTATGAGGTTGCCTATGTGGAAAATATATGCTTAGGGACAGAAGCCACATGGTGCTGGAGCCAGAAAAGGCCCAGCTGCTGTACTTCCAGGACTGCCACATGAACAGACAGTATCCATCCATATTACTGCCTGACAGTAAGGCACAGACAGTAAACATCCCTATTTCCAGCTACTGTAATTCTTAACATTGGCTGCAGGACACATGGAAAAGTCTGTCTGGCACAGTGAAATGCTGGAGATGTTAGCATGATTCCCTACTGCTTTTGGTGTGCCCCACAAAGAGCAAAGAGCAAGAGCCTAAGGTATTGTGGCCTGTAGGCATAACCAAAGAAGAGTTCACAAAACCAGCACAGTTAACCCTTAGTATTTTTGTAAGGATAAGATTTTTTTGCTTAGTACTATTGATTAGATTTAGATGATTTAAGATTAAAAAGGACAATGATACTCTGCAGACTGATCTTGTGCAGAATATAAATACAACTCAGTAGCTCACATGTCAGTTCATATCTGATCACCTGTACCAGAAGGGTGATTTACAGTGTTTCAGATATGAATAAAGTGCCATGCTGTTAAACATCTCTTTCTAGTGAGTGAATATCCTTATTGAATTAAAACTGTCATTTGTTTCTAGCCTGACTTTGGCAAGCTTCAGCTTCCACCTCCTGCTGGATCTTATTGCATGTTCTTTTGTTATAAAGCTATTTACTATCAGAAATATGATCTTTAAGAAGCAGATCTGAAATACAAGTCCCTTTAACCTTCTAAGGATGAGCTGATTTTCTTGTAAGAAATTGTCATAATTTAAAAAGCACACATTTAACTTTGTTAACTGATGAACTTTCTGTACTGTGAAAAATCTGAGCAGCAATAACTTTTTTTTTTTCTTGTCCAATGCTGAGAGACCAAGCAGCAAGGTGAACTAAGCTTATAGCTATATAGTAAGAAAATAGTTTATATTTTTTTTTTCTTTCCCATTAGTAATGAGATTTTTTAAGCTGAATTAAGCAATAATAGCTGTACTGGAGTTGGTAAAACCACAATAAGCTGAATGTGTTCACAGCCTGCTTTATCAGAATTAGCATTTCTAAATAGGAATTCAGAATTCATTCTTTCCATTAAGAAAAAAGCAAGGAGGTCTGTGAGGAGTGACACTAATGAACCTTAGTTTCCCTCTATTTTCCACCCCTCTGGTCTCTTTCTGACTACTTTCCACATTATTTCCAGAGTTCTCTGTCCCTTACATCTTCAGTTCTGCAACCATCCACCCATCAGGCTGGGCAAGAAGAGCTGGTACTGTAGGTGGCTCGGAGCTAGGATCTGTGTCTATCTGTCCAGGGTGTGCACACCAATCAGCTGCTTTGCTAAGGGCAAACACAATAGGGAGAAGTAAGTTCTCCTTACCTGCCTTTTCAAGGGGGGACTGACTTAGGCCTTAGTACTCTCAGCTACTGAATTCCATTAAATTTTACTTAATATCCTTAAGAACTCTATCCCTTTGCTGAATTTGTTTAAAATTGGGGATGAGATCCAGCAGTAATGAAGAGGCACTGACATACAGAATAACTGCAGTAAGTCTCATTTCCTTGGGAAAAAGAAGATAGAAATAAGAGAATACATTCTCAGTAATATAAATGAATGGTTGGCTATCACACTACTTCAGAAGCATAACATAGGATGTGGCTGTGCTGAAGTTGATAAGCTTAGGTTTGTATTTGTACTGCTGCTTGCAGGAGGCCTGAGTGAGCCCATTTCAATGGCATGTTCTCATCCTGCTGCTCCATAACGTGTTCTGATTTCAGACCAGTGACACAATTGCCTTAGTTAAAATGAACTAGAGTGACCAGAAAGAATTAGTAATATCCACTTAAAAGCAGGGTATTTGTGAGTGACTGGATTCCCTGGAATGTAAAGGAATTTTAAAGGAACACCAGTTCCAGATATAACTGCCAAAGTTATTTTTTTGCCTCATGTATTTGCTGCTTGCTAGATTAACACCTTCCATGGTGGAATCTAAATATGGAGTGACTAGCAGCAGTGGTGAGTCACCAGCTCTTTGTAGCACAACTGTGCTTGCCTTGGGAGGAAAAATGGAACAGAGATTCTTCTGCTATTCAGTACAAAACCAAAAAAAAGCTCACGCCATCTTTGAAGTCTTTACTTCAGAATTATTGGAAATTAAGCTTACAACCCATATTTACACAGGATAAAGTTCTGGTAACTTTATATTAGTTTTGGGTCTATTTTACTTCTCAAAAAATCTAAAGAACTGAAGAATTATAGTGTGAGTGATGAGACTATGAAGGTTTCTACTAGAATATTCCAAGCAACAAAATCCCATATATCCTCAACGTGTTTCAGTTCTTGGCTTGCCACTGTGATTTGCTTCTAGCAGTAACGCTAGCAATGAGCCAGTGTTTACATCTGTAATGTTCCCATAATGAAAGGCCATGTGTACGTGCCTGTAGAAAGCATACACACAAAAACGTGGCTGTGGAGACAATGAAGCCAACAGGGACTGTCATAAAGCCATGTGTTGCACAGCAGGAACGAATTTGTTCACAGCCAGCAGTGCACCGAGCCCACCTGGCTGCTGCTGCAGCATTTCAAACCCTCCCTTTTAGAGGTTACGCAGGACTCTAGCAGCACAAAGGTGGTAACTATTCCCTTAGGATGTATTTTGGGCTGGACACAGCATGAATTTACTGAAGAGATGGAACTCGGACATCTGGTAACATCAGCATCTGTGCTAGGGGTGAGAAGCCTGAGGAGCAGGTGACAGGGAGCAGTGCAGACCAGCCATGAGCGTGCTGTCCCTGGTCCCCACGGTGCCCAGCAGCCGGAGCCCAGGCCCTCCACAGGGACTGGGGACACCCAGCTCACTGCACAGCAGGACATGGAGATGTGGGTCCAGGATCCTCACACATTCCTTCAGACCCACCCTGATTCGTAATTACTTTGTGTGGAAAAGCCACTAACAAGCCTTGGCAGCAAATCACAGAAGCGCAGCCACCCCACGGATTGTTCTTCTCTGGGGGGAATAAGTGAACCTGATCTCCCCAAAAGTAATTCACGGTGTTCAATTACTTGTATGAGTTTAGGGGCAAAACTCTCAGATACCTGTGAGATCTTCACATTTAATAGAGAAATTTCTAGTAAAAATTCATAACAAAGTGGTGAAAATCTTCATCTTAAACCATTTGTGTAGTTAGCCTGCTGTGAATGTAAAATATAAGGTAGTGATATAATTGGACAAAATTTAATGGGTAAGTAGCAAAGAGCTGAGTTTCAACAATCTATTGGTTGTTCCTGCCTGTACATTCCATCAGTTTGTACTTCAGAATTTTTGTTATCCCTGGCTGTGTTCCTTCTCAGCACTTGTGTGTTGCTATGTTTGTGAGGATGTCTGTACATAGCACTTACAGCTAATGCTGGATTGTTGCAAAATGTGAAATATGTAAATATTTCTGAAGAAAGTGTGTTCTCTGATGTTCAATCTTTGTATACTTTCAAGCCTAAACAACAAGAAATAAAGGAGATTTAATCTGTAAAACAGAGAGTAGCTAAGAAGCTGTAAGTGGTGTCCAGGTGTTAGAGAGACGAATTAGTTGTTGGAAGAATGGCTTTGCTAAGGTTTAGGGCTCAATATGTTTCAATGACCTAAGACCTGGGGGAGGTCAACGAAAACTTGAGAAGAATATACCACTGATGGTGGACACAAATAATACAGAATTTAGGGCCACAAGGAGATCTAGCAGAACTTCCAAGATCAAGAAGTAAATAATAAAGTCAACTCAGCAACTGCGCTGAAATCAGCTCCGACTGGGTAAAAGGTAATTCCAGCAGGATGAGTTGTGACCCTGGACTCATGGCCAGGCCACCAACTCAAATCCACCAACTCGAAAGAAGAGAAAGACTGAGAATGCAGACTAACAAGGGTGAGATGCAAAGAAATCATTAAATGAAGATAGAATACTAATTAAGAAGAGTACTTAATGGAAGTAAGAATTAAAAGAAGAGTTTATTGGCTACGTAACTTGTAGTCAATAAACACTAATTCTTTTGTTTACTAAAATGTCTGAATAGTAAAAAGTTTTGATCGTTCGGATACTGGCTTTGCGGATCTGCCACCCAGCAGATCCATCCACCCCTTTCTTACAGTGCAGAATTGTAAATAAACCAAATTCCTCGCCTCCGTGTGTGTATTGGCTCACCAGGTGAAAGAACATGTTTTGGCAACACTTTGCATCCGTGTCTACATTCTGCAATCCCACTTCTGAAGTTCTCTGTTAACCCTTTATCAAGGACTTTTTCGCTCCTGCCCGTGAAGGCCTGAGGAGGCCTCCACCTCCTGCAGCTGCTAGAAGACCTACGTTGCAGTGAACCTGTGCTTTGATGATTTGGTGTGTTAGAGACTTTGAGGGCAGACGAGCGGCGTTTCCAAGCACGGGAAGGTGCGCAGGCCGCAGCAGCCCCCGCTGACGGGCGGGGAGCGCGCGCTGTTCC